TTCTCCCTTATCTCTAATTTATCTTTGCTACCCACCCCCTCATCAACCCTTGAGAGGACACAACACACATCCGATTCAGTTCTACCATTTAATTCATTTTGTTTTATTTCATTTTCGAAATTCATATTTAAAAGTAAATCAACAAAGTTTTTTCCGGTGTTCCTTCTGAGGACGGGCCCCTTTTACATACAAAACAACAGAAAACAGTCTAATGAAATTTCTTCCGAGTATCAATGTACATGGAGCAAAATTAATTTTTCTTATTCTACCACAAAATTCTACTGCAGCTTCAATTTGTCCGCACACCCTCAGTCTTTCGCCGCTTAACCCTCTCAGAATAGGCACTTCTACTTCCTTCACTTTATATTTGGGCCACAACTACCTAATCATTGACCGATTGATAAAGCAATAACCAAAAAAGAAATAAAACGAGAACTAGACCGTGACGGATTTGGACCCAAAGCTACTCTTACTTGTACATTCCAGTTAAGCTCCTCCCCTTCCACCGCTGCTGCTGCTGTTCGTAGTGTACAGTTTATTTTCATGTGTCCCACGCGTCCGCTTTTAAGCATGCCCCCATTTGTCGTTGGGGTCTTTTGCATACATTCGCAATGCCCCATGCCTTGGCAGTTGTAGCAGCGCACCGTCGTTGCACTTTTCACCTGGCGCTGGCCTCTCTCTGCAACCATTTTCTCGTATTTTGGTATTAGTTTTTTGACGTCGGCTACCGTCGTTGCACTCAGGAATATTAGCGCTGCCACCGATTTGTCCTGCATGCCCTCAACAATGTATTCGACTAGTTCCGTTTACGTTATGGGAGCATCCGCGCCAATTTCTTGCATCGACAGGACATATCGGTGCAAGCTCTCTTCACCTCTCCTCCATTTGCGGATATCCAACTTCCGCAGTATGTCTTTTGCCCCAATTCTCTTTTGGAACTCGGTGCGCAATTCGCATTTCAACTGTTGCCAATTGTCCGCTTATGTGCCACGCAGGAACAATTTCGCACTGCCGTCCAACATGCGGCGAGCAAAAATAAATTTTTCTGCCTCTTCATAGCCCACAACCGTCGTTACCTTGTCAAATTCGTCAAATTCGTGCAATGGCCGCAGCTGTGCTGCATCAGCGCCAATCACTTCCGCCAACAATCTACGTAGCTGCAGGGCCGTTGCTGTTCGGGGAATTCTATTCCCATTTGCCGTAGATGGGTTTTTAAGTTTTCCATTTCACTTTTTTTGTTTTCTTTTCTTTTTCACAGTTTATTTAATTTTTTCCTTAGTTCTTCAGTTGCTGTTCTTTTTTTTTTCTCAGTTAATTTAAGTTTAAACCGTTTAGCGTTTGGTTGGTTAGCTTTTTTTTTCTCTATTTCACTTTTTGCGTTTTTCGGCCACACCTGAAATTGAACACATGTATTCGTTTCAGCAGTCATAACTGTATAGACGCGCTCATTTATTTTCTGTATACCATACCCATATAACGTTATATCCTTATATTACACCGGTCATTAGAACAACTCTATATTTACAGGTACATAAATGAATCCTACGACAAGTAAATCACTTGATGAGGGTGACGCACAAAGAACAATCGGTACGATATACATAAAAATTTTTGAGATGGGACCCCTAGTTATGCAGTCAACCTTAATATTCTAAGCGAAAAGTTTAGAGTATAAATTTGCTTTTATGAAAAAAAAAAATAACTGGACGGGAATCTCTGAATTGAGGATAATTCAAAACTATGTTCGACAAATATCATTTCAGGTTCAAAGTGACAGAACTTTGTTGTGTACCCATACCTTTTTCAATACTGGGGATGTACAACATTTTGTATATAATAATCTTTCGATTTTATATTGAATTTCTCATTGAAACCACACTGATACAACTTTGATTGTCTTCGTAAATTATGATAGGAGTAATGTCACAACCATTTATCCACTTCGCCTCTTTACATTCTTCAACCAAAGCTATATATTCTGAATCTGCAGACGACAAATATTGATTTGATGTAGTGTTCCTTATTCCTCGGTTCAGATAAAAAACATAACCGGTATGATATTTTCGATCAACATTCTTCTCTGCACAATCAGCATGGACATAAAATATTATTTGTCACAACACAGCTAAGTTTAACTTCATTATAATCTTCTGTTGTTGGCCCTTCCACCTTTAGGAAAAAATTGCCACATTTGCTGCAATGTCAGATTGTGCATGGGTTACTAGACCAAATAATTGCTCGTAGATATATTTTATTATCCAGAAGTTACTCTTACTTGGATGTCCTGTTGTATGCTAGATTTAGAGAATTATGTGAATACTTTGTATTTCGAAGTTAGGAAATTATTGGATATCTTTAGTATGCAGCTTTGGTGTTTTAGCTAAACGAGGAGATTCAATTTCTGCCATGCACATGTAGTATTCTCCTTAATTGATTTGAAGTGGCCTCACTGAATTTACTTGGTTCTTTCATTTTATACTTTATATCATTAAGGTAAACCTCCTTTATTAATGCAGCTCGATATTCTTTTATCAGGAATTTGTTTTTGTATGACATCTTCAAAAAATAAGTTGGAATCTGATATAACCTGGATTTTTTCACTCTGTTCTTCAAGAGCAGGACTAAACTATGAGATTGATGTGGATTTACGTCATCCCTGATCCCTTTTCCATCTAAAACATCTCGTGAAATTTAACTTTTCCTTTGGTGCTTGCAGACAACAACAACCGAATACATGCAAATTGCTCAATTCCTAAAGATTGTTGCGAAATCTGTACCCTCATCCTCATTATCAAGTTCTCTATCATCGGAATTGTCTGCACCATCCGACGACAATTCTTCAAATGTTTCAAAAAACATAAAAGCAAAAATAAGAAGATCACCACGAATAAAAATCCTTCGAATAAAAAGGAAAAAACTAAAAAATTTGTAAGTAAAAATAAAAAGGCGAAAAAAAAAACCAAGAAGCGAATGACTAAAAGGGTAGCAGCAGTAAGTCAAAACCTTCAAATAGTTCGGGCTCGAACCAAAATGAGAATAAAAAATGGTGGAAAATAAAAAACAAAACGGTATTTGGGTGTAACGATAAGACCGTTTGTTTGTCTTCTTCGCATTTTATTGCCCACTTGGTTAATCAAAGGGTGGCCCATGAAATTTTGGTCCTGGAAATTCTAACACTCTTAATTTAATCACCGACTGATGATAATGTTGAAGTGGCCTTAACATTTCTTAAGGAATGTGGTATGAAATTGACAGAGGTATCATCGGAGAGGGTTGGAGGCGTCTTTGAATTGCTTAAAAATATCTTGCATGAAGGCAAGTTGGATAAACGTGTACAATATATGATTGAAGTATTATTTCAAGTGCGCAGAGATGGCTTTAACGACCATCAATCGATTATTGAGTACTTAGAATTGGTAGAAGAATATGCTCAATTCACTCATTTGCTATTGTTGGAAAATGTCACATACCCGAAAGTTATATTGAGTAAGTTAATAGAAATTAATAAATTATTTTTTTGTCATTAAATTTATTAATTTTTAGACGCATTTAATTTTGACGATCAGTACGAGACCAATGAAGAAAAATATAAAGCACTTAGTAATGATATTTTGGGTAGCCATGCTTCAGATTCGTATGGCCCACCGATTCTGTAAAATTAACAAGTCTTATATAGAACCATTCTAAACGCTTTGTTTAGATACAAATCGTTTGCAGAATGTAAGCAAATTCTTTACTCATTTGTAGTTGACCGATGCCATTAGTTGGGATGTTTTAGACTGCATAAAGCTAAATGAAGATGACGCCACAACTTCAAGTCGTACTTCTTTCAAGAATTGGTCGAATACATGGGTTTGGAGCAGATTAATAAAAAAGTTACGGCTGAAGTTTTAGATGGAACGTTGGTGAGACGGGGAATCGTATCGAAGAAGTATCATCGGATCAACTTTCACAAAACATCAACTTTTCATATCCATTGGTTAAGGTGGCATAACTAATGAATTGTGTCAACTCTTAAAGATTGCTCTCTCCAAAGAAAAAGAACTATCCGCCTATAGAAGCCGTTCTGGAAACACTCGTTTACTCCTTCGGTTCGGGTAGTAATTCCGAAACTGCATTATCTGACTGTGATAAGGGCAAAAATGAGGTTAATGATAAATACACGAGTGGTGACATTATTGACGAAACGAAACTAAATCTGATTGCGTTAAGAAGAACAATATATCTTACCTTAAATTCCAGTTTGGATTATGAGGAATGTGCCCAAAAATTAATGAAAATGCAATTGAAAACTCGTCAAGAAAATGAGTTTTGCCACATGTTGTTAGATTGCTGCGCTGAACAATGAACCTATGAGAAGTTCTATGGCCTTCTAACCCACCAAGTCTTATATAGAACCATTCGAAGAAATCTTCAAGGATATCTGTCAGACTACGCATAGTTTAGATACAAATCGTTTGCGGAATATAAGCAAATTCTTTGCTCATTTGTTGTTTACCGATGCAATTAGTTGTGATGTTTTAGACCGCATAAAGCTAACTGAAGATGACGCAATAACTTCACGTTGTTTTTTTATAAAAATTTTCTTTCAATAATTGGTGGAATACATGGGTCTGGGTCACTTTAATAAAAAACTTAAGACTGAAGTTTTAGCTGGAACATTGGCGGGACTATTCCCCAAAGATAATCCCAGAAATGTGGTGAAGTTTTGTTGCATTCATTCCTAGTCTGAGTTTTTATAATGTGCAATTTAATGCACCGAACGTGCTGAACGCCAACCAGAAAAGAGATCCGAAAAAAGAGAAATTTGAAAAAGTGATGCCAAGTTTCATGTTGTTTTTTGTACAACACGAGAGACGTGTGACAAAAATACAAAACTGGGGAAAAAAGTGGTTAGGTAGAACACCTGATAAAGGTAAATAATAAATGTCAGGGAAATTGTGGGAAAATCTTGGAAAAGAGGGATAGTTTTTTTTTAATAAAAATAAAATAAGGAAATATTCAGTTGGCAGTTACTATTCGTGTGTTTTATTGTTTTATTTTTGTGGGGAATCTAAACAATCTGTAAGTTTGTTGATTTTAAGTTTGTGTGTTTTATTTAGGGAAATAACGCCGCGCATAAATCCACAATTTGACAATGCCATCCGACTTAACGAGAAAAGAGCGGGCATCCCCAACAATCGTTTTTTTGAATCGCCAAGTGAGGCACCGAGGTTCCAGACACAGAAAAGGTCCTGGAAACTGCCAGAAGACCTGGAAACAGCTGGGAAACGGCCAGTGAAAAATTGTAACACAGGCGACAGTACCGATCCGGGAAGCTAGCAGTAGTTCCCACCTATATCAAAATCTGCAAATGAAGAAAAAAGTTGAATAAGTATGCCGTTGTGCAGGTAATGTAATTTAAAAAATAATTTACTTACCAAAGCCCAAAGAATGAAAGCCAAATCCCGCTAAAAGAGTCATATTAAGTTCATTTTCCTTGTCGAAGATGAACTTTTAAAATAGAAAAAAATATGAAATTCGTCGATTAATGATTATCGGCATTTAACCAAAAGAAAGAAAAAACCTATTTAAAAAATATTTTTGTTATAGTGTAATGTTGTAGTTAGATAAATAGTACTTAAGAAATAATTGTGAGGATATTTAATGTCCAGGTAATTTTTCCTTAGTGAGTGTAGGGTTTTCTCAAAATTTACAGCTAGACCATTTCTATATTTTTTGGAAAAAGAATTTATAATGCCCAAAACTTTCGTCTAAGCGAGCTCCTTTAGGCAGAATTTAGAGTAGTTTTATTGACCAAATTTGGCGCTCCTAGCGGTGTAATAAAAAAGGTAATCTGAGTATTGACTCACAAATTTTTTCGTTCCGGTATTAAAAGTCCAGTTTTATTCTTATGTGTTCATGTCGAAATTAGGTTTAAGAGAACAATGATGTTTAAAATAAATAAGTTTAATGTCTAATTGTTTAAAGAATAATATGTTGTGCTAAATTTTGTTGACATCACATAAATAGCCGGCGTTAAGTACGGACGCGTTTTATTTTTCGTTGCTAATGAAAGGTGTTTTTTTCACAAGCAAAGCAAAATAAATAATATAAAAGCAAACAGTACGCTATTAAATAATCTCAGGAAATATAATCTAAAAAAAAAACCTGCTAAAAAATCCTTTTTATTAAGAATTTTTGCAAAATAGTTTTTTTTTTCTACTTTATCCTCTTTTTCCCCAAGCACATAAATCGGTTTGTTATAGTGTTAACAACAGCAAGTGTATGTCACTCTCTCATACGGAAGAGAGAAATGTAAGTGAGAACGGGCAAAACGTATACCTTAAGTTGACGTCGACAGATTTTAGCTAAACCGCGCCAAAACGCCACGAAAGCTGGTATCTTACAGCTAAACCCCAAAGCCCTTCTAAATCGGCATCGCCGAGAGTTTTTAATGGCAAAAACTTGCCAGGTGAGACTACTCCCAACGAAACAACAGAAATGTCATATAAACAAAACAATGTAAACACGCCCAAAATAAATTCTATAAAGGTGCTATCACACGATGCGATTGTACATCAAGAAACTATCGCTTCAAGTAAGCATGCGTCTCTTGAAAAAAACAAGAAGCAAAACATAGTTCCTCCAGGCATGGACCGATATGTCTTAGTAACAAAGCGTAAGGCTAGTTCTAGAACTCCAACCAAGGAACCAAAAGCTAAAACCCAAAAGTCTATAAACAACGACCGCAACAACAGATTCTCATTCTCGGCTTGAATAACGAGACTGATGAAAAGATGCAACCGGTTAGGTCCCAAAAACCTCCCCCACTATATCTTCGCGAAAAAACTACAAACAATCTTGTGAACAAACTCTCCCAAATATTGGGTAAACCTAATTTTCACGTGGTATCTCTTAAGAGAGGAAATCTCCAAGAGACGAAAATACAAACTTATACTGGGTCGCATTATAAGGACCTGGTTCATGCTCTGGATTCTGAGAAGAAGAATTATTACACCTATCAGATTAAGAGCTCAAAAGGACTAATCGTCGTCATTAAAGGGCTTCATAGTTTTACACCCATAGAGGACATAAAAGCTGCTCTCGCAGCAGAAGGATTCGAAACAAAGTCTATCATCAACATTTTCAATAAAGATAAAATTCCGCAACCTATGTTTAAAGTAGAACTAACATACGAATCTTCGCAACTAAAGAAAAGGGACAATTTCATCCATCCATCCAATTTATAGCCTTAGGCTTCTTTGTAATCGCGGTGTGAAAATTGAAGAACCTCAAAAAAGAAAAGGCCAACCTCAATGTACAAACTGCCAAGAGTATGGGCATACCAAAACGTATTGTAAATTGCTATCGGTTTGTGTTACTTGTGTTACAAATCATCGGAATGTCCATATCCCAAAACTGACCCAAGCGTCAAAAAGTGCAGCAATTGCGGTGGAAATCATGCTGCAAACTACAGAGGATGTCCTGTATATATCCACTTAACAAAATCTAGCTTAGCCACAAAAAAGCCTACAAGCTACCGGGTACGGGAAAATCCACAATTTAATATCAAAACAGCTGAGTTCCCTGAGCTAAACAAGAGGAATGAAACCACCGCTCCTAATTACAATCTCCCCTCTCAGAATATGCAATACTGATATTCTGATACTTTGAGAAATGACTCACCCAACTATAAAAATTCAAATATAGAATCATCTATCGAAAAACTAATGGTCACCATGAATTCTTTTATGACAAGTATGCAAAGCATGATGCAAGATATTGTGAGAAATCAATCTATTATTATGCAAATAGTTTTAAAACAAAAATAGATAAAATTCGAATCTGTTTTTGGAACGCAAACGGCTTAAGCCAACATAAACACGAGGTCGAAAACTTTATTCACTCACTCAACATACACATTTTATTGGTATCTGAAACTCTTTTCACTTCTAGAAACTATTTTAGAATAAACGGTTACAGTACATACGACACTGAACACCCTAGTGGGAGAGCTTGCGGTGGCACCGCGGTGATAATTTCTAATAAAATTCAGCATTACCCCATGCCAGAATATAAGTTTGACCACCTACAAGCTACAACAGTTGCACTATCTTCAACGAATACAGCTATATCTGCTATATATTGTCCTCCGAGACATAGTATAAGCAATGATGAATTCGCACACTTTTTCTCATCTCTTGGTAGTAGATTCATTGCAGCTGGAGATTATAATGCCAAACACACCTTCTGGGGATCTAGACTTATTACACCCAGAGGTAGACAGCTTTTAAACTCCATTTCGTCCGCTAAACTGGACGTATTATCTACTGGCCAGCCTACTTACTGGCTTTCAGACCTGCAAAAACGTCCTGACTTAATTGACTTTGCGGTAACAAAGAATATTAAGAGGGAACAAATGTCCGTGGTACCCTCATTTGACTTGTCGTCAGACCATTCCCCAACTATAATAACATTAAATGATGTTCAACTCGCAACTTCCCCGGATTATCTACCAAATAAATATACAAACTGGATGAAGTACAAAAAATATGTCAGTACACATGTGAATTCTAACACTCCTCTAAAGTCCAGAGAAGAAATTGACAATGCAGTTAAAATATTTACTTCGATAGTCAACACCGCTGTCAATGTTGCCACTCCCACTAAATTTTCAAAACTAGAAAATAATTCCTATAATCCATCGACCATTCGAAAACTCATGTCTGATAAAAGGAAGGCCAGAAGAGAATGGCAGAAGCACCGATCACCTAGGTTTCGGGAAAAACTAAAAGAATGTGAAAAACTCTTACAAGATTAAATGAAGAGCGAAACCTAAAAATATTCCTAAATAACCTGGATCCCACAGAGAGAACTGACTACAGCTTATGGAAAGCCACAAAAAACTTGAAAAGACCTATCGCCCACGAATCTCCAATTCGCCTAGAAAATGGGACTTGGGCAAGATCTACAGAAGAAAAAGTTAACGCATTTGCCGAACACATTGAATCTGTATTTACCCCAAATCCCGGATCATCGACAGTTGTTCAACCTTTAATTGACGACATTGTTCCGAATCCAATACGATTTTCTTTAAAAGAAATCGAAAGTTCTAAAGCCTCGATGAAACTCGATGAATTACTCCAAACATGCTCAAGAAATTACCAACACCGGCCCTTAAACTATTGTTATTTATATTTAACAGCATTCTTCGAGTAGGGTACTTCCCGTCTGTATGGAAAGAATCTGAAATAGTAATGATTCCGAAACCTGGAAAAGATCCAACGCAGGTAAAATCATATAGACCCATCAGTCTTCTATCTATACTCTCAAAGCTGTTCGAAACAACATTACTAAGGAAGTTAACTTCCCATATTACAAATAGCAATATTATCCCCGACCACCAATTCGGCTTCCGTAAGAACCACAGTACTATTGAGCAAGTGCACCGCATAGTCACAAACATTAGAATGGCATTCGAAAGGAAGGAGTACTGCTCGGCGCTATTTATAGACATTTCCCAAGCGTTTGACAGAGTCTGGCATCTTGGAATTCTATACAAAATTTGTGAAACTCTACCAAAAAACACTCATAAACTTTTTTGTAGTTATTTGTCAAATCGTACGTTTGTTGCAAAATCGAAAGACATACTTTCAAATTCAAGAAAAATATTGGGTGGCGTCCCACAGGGTAGTATCTTAGGACCAATTCTGTACGTGTTATTTACTGCCGATATGCCCACAACCAATGAAACTCTAACCTCAACGTTTGCTGATGATACTGCTTTCATTAGCATACACAAGGATTCTCTGATTGCGTCGGAAAAACTACAATACCATGTATATCTTCTCGAAAATTGGCTGACAAAATGGAGAATATCGGTAAATGCAAGCAAGTGCATACATGTTACTTTTGCTCTAAGACGTGAACTTTGCCCCAGGATAAAAATCTTTAATACTCAAGTTCCACAGAAAGATACCGTAAAATATCTCGGAATGCATCTGGACCGAAGACTTACATGGAAGCAACACATCGATGCAAAAATCACACAAATTAAATTAAAAAAGCCCAATGTTGAGTGGTTAATTGGTATACGTTCTTCTATTAAATTAGTATATAAATTCCTATTATATAAGACTATAATAAAGCCAATTTGGACGTATGGCTTACAGCTCTGGGGCACAGCTAGTGCCCCTAACGTAAGTAAACTACAAAGAAGACAGTCGAATAATCTTCGATCTATTACAGGTGCACCATGGTACATAAGGAACGCAAACATCCACAAGGACCTAAATATACTTACTGTTGAAGAAGAAATAAAGAAGCTTTACCGCAAGTACTTAAACAAACTATCCGAGCACCCAAATAACTTGGCCCGCCAACTCCTACTATTCGGAGGACACGATAGACTGTGCAGACGTGACACTCTTTCTATCATATAGTTTATTTTTTTATCTTACGCTCTCATTATTTTCAGCTCTTGTCTGGCCAATTGAACGTCGCCCACTTTTATACTTCTACAGGTAGTAGTATGCTAAATTGGAAGCTGCTTCTGTGAAGAAATCGAAAAGACTATTACTGTAGTCCGCGGGAAGATTAGTGAAAAAATCGATAAGACTATTACTGTAGTCCGCGGGATGATTAGATATAACTGTATCTAAACAAAGCAACATTATATCCGTAAGACTATTTCTGTAGTCCGCGATTCACTTAGATATATCTGTATCTAAACTAATCTTAACTACCTACTCAATCAATTCACGGATATAACTGTATCCACAAGCCCACAAAATAACACACATCTATATTATAAAAAAAAAACAATAATAATTAAAGCATGAAAAAAATATGGGGTGATTGTATTGACAACCTCCCTATAAAAATATTAGTAAATAAGATATGAATCCTTATTGTTATTTTCATTAAATATATGAAAGATTCAATAAATTAAACAATAAAAAAAAAATTTGTTGTGAGAGAGAAGGTTAGGCGTTGTAAGTAAGAGAGTGTGTGTGGCTTTTTGGGGCCATTTTAAATTTTTTGTGTGTATATGGACTAAAGGCTCATGGATGGGTGGGCATAGTGGGGGAGCAATAATATCAAGCTCCTGTGTCATTGATGTTTGTTTTGATGTAAATGTTTATAAGTGCCGTTGTAAGATTTAGAAGATTTTCCAAAAGAATTTTAGTTTTATTTAATTCCTTGGTTCCTCTTCTATTGAGCTTACGATTTCGTCACTTGGGTAAAAAAATGTTTTTGTTTTAGAAATTATTTTTAAAATAACTTCTGGGGAGAATATCCCAGACAAAAAACAAGGGAACTGATGAGGTTTGTTGGCTCTTTTCGAAACCTAGGTATTCCCTACCTTACCCACTGGTAAACATTATCATGGTTCTCCACTAATAAAAAAATGTTGTTTTTATAAAAACAACAATAAAGGGCCAGGCTTACCATTTTGCAACAACAAGTTTATCAACTCAAAAATTTTCTCTTAGAAAAACACGATTTTTAATAATTTTAAGAACGGATTTCGATCAATTGTGTTTAAAAAATTGTAACTGCGCTTAATCGAAATGCTTTGTACAAAAAATTGTTTTAGGTATATACGATTAGCTTTAAATAATTTTTTTAGGTATATCCAAATTTTCTTGCGCAGAAAAAATACACACAAGTCAAGCCCAAGGCAAAAAGCCCTAAATTTATTCTACCAAAAACTGATTTGGAGAATGTTATGTGCTAAAATAATCGTTAGGGCTCAAAGTATCATTTAGCATATAGCTTCTGTTAGAGGTGTCCCGGTGCCGTTTAATGTTTCTTTGAGAAGTCAAAATTTTATTGTTAGTCCAACAATTTCCGTTTGCTATATTATGTATGGAGTATGATAATTCATTAGCAAGCAAAAAGTTTTTTTTTTTAACATTTTCATTCATATTTTTTTTATAAATAAATATTGTTTAAAAATATGTTGCATTACTTTTTCTGTCGAACATTTGAAAAAGGGATTAAATGGAAAATTACGATGTTCTGAGCCACCCTATAATTAGGGAAAAAATCGATGCTATCGATAGGTAGCAACGTTACTAACTTCACTCGTTTCAGAACTTTGGGTATTAAAAGACGGATTACTTACCATTGTTCTCTTAATGGCAATATATTTCTTAGATTCGAAACCTTTTGTCGATATATTAAGAAAATAACCTGGCGGTTAATCTGGACGTAACACCCGCAGTTTATCATATTCTCATAGGATTTCAATAACGACTCTCGAATAAACAATAAACAGATCCTGTCAACAACAAAAATATGAATGCCACCGACGCCGAATCTCGAAAACCGGAAAATAAACCTAGTTCTGAGTCTTCGTCGTCGGGGTCCACAAGTGGATCAAGTGATGGAGAAGTGTCTTCCAAAACATATTTCAAAAATAACAAATCAAAAGTTCTATCAGGGCAAAGGGAAGTCGTATTGGAAGTAGTACGTGATCTATCTTATACTATATGCAAGGAAGCAGAAGAAAAATTAGTTGAAAGATTTCCTAGAAAGGATGGATCGAATGAAATGCTTCCCAAGGAAGATAGCATAAATACTAACCATAATTACACAACGGATTCAAATGAACACCCAGTAGAACTAACGACAAAGACAGAAGAATGTAAAAATACAGAGAAGACTAAAAAAAAATCTTTTGTGCGAGCTCTCTCCAAAGATAAACAACTATCCGCCTATAGAAGCCGTTCTAGAAGCACACGTTTAAGTTATTCTGGACACATTAGCCGAACTCATTCAGTAGAAAAAAGTCTATCAAGATATAAAAAAAGTGTATTAAGAAATCGAAGAACTTCCTTTGGACACGGCCGAGATTCTTCTACGACCAAAAGGTCTGTCTCCAGGGACAAGGACAATCGACTAAGACGAAGAATAGGATCTAGCAGAAGCCATACTAGATCTCACAGTCGATTTCGAAGGTCGGAAAAGAAGCTTCCATCAAGATCTCCACGACGAATTCGTTCACAAGAAAGACGACATGAACGACGTCGTTCGATGTCGTCAGATTATGAAAGGATAGCGTTACGCCGATCTGAGCCAATCAAAAGAAGAGATAAAGATGAATTCTTCAAAAACAATAAGAAAGTATCTGGCGATATAAAAAAGGGAAAGGGGAACGATAATGGTACTGTAGCAGAACTCGAGGCCAAGATAACAGAACGTCAAAGGAAAAGTCTAGATATACTAACATCACGTACAGGCGGTGCTTGTTTAACACCCGATAAATTGCGTATGATACAAGCAGAAATTACAGACAAATCATCGGCTGCATATCAGAGTATAGCTCGGGAAGCTCTTAAGAAATACATACATGGTTACATCAATAAAGTCAATGTGGATAGTGTTGCAGTTATCACCCGAAAATTGCTTAAGGATAATATAGTACGTGGTAGAGGCGTGCTTTGCCATTCCATAATACAAGCTCAAGCTACATCGCCAAAATTTACCCATGTTTATGCCGCCATGGTGGCCATTATTAATTCAAAATTTCCCAATATTGGGGAATTGCTGTTGAAACGTTTGGTCATACAGTTCAAACGAGCATTTGGGTGTAACGATAAGACCGTTTGTTTGACTTCTTCACATTTTATTGCCCACTTGGTTAATCAAAGGGTGGCCCATGAAATTTTGGCCCTAGAAATTCTAACACTCTTAATTGAATCGCCGACTGATGATAATGTTGAAGTGGCCATAACATTTCTTAAGGAATGTGGTATGAAATTGACAGAGGTATCATCGGATAGGGTTGGAGGCATTTTTGAATTGCTTAAAAATATCTTGCATCAAGGCAAGTTGGATAAACGTGTACAATATATGATTAAAGTTTTATTTCAAGTACGCAGAGATGGCTTTAAGGACCATCAATCGATTATTGAGTCATTAGAATTGGTAGAAGAATATGCTCAATTCACTCATTTGCTATTGTTGGAAGATGTCACATACCCGAAAGATATATTGAGTAAGTTAATAGAAATTAATAAATTATTTTTTGTCATTAAATTTGTTAATTTTTAGACGAATTTAAATTCGACGATCAGTACGAGACCAATGAAGAGAAATATAAAGCACTTAGTAAGAATATTTTGGGTAGCCATGCTTCAGATTCGGATGGCTCCTTCGGTTCGGGTAGTAATTCCGAAACTGCATTATCTGACTGTGATAAGGGCAAAAATGAGGTTAATGATAAATACACGAGTGGTGACATTATTGATGAAACGAAACCAAATCTGATTGCGTTAAGAAGAACAATATATCTTACCTTAAATTCCTGTTTGGATTATGAGGAATGTGCCCAAAAATTAATGAAAATGCAATTGAAAACTTGTCAACAAAATGAGTTTTGCCAAATATTGTTAGATTGCTGCGCTGAACAAAGAACCTATGAGAAGTTCTATGGCCTTTTAACTCACCGAATTTGTAAAATGAACAAGTCTTTTATAGAACCATTCAAAGAAATCTTCAAGGATATCTGTCAGACTACGCATTGTTTAGATACAAATCGTTTGCGGAATATAAGCAAATTCTTTGCTCATTTGTTGTTTACCGATGCAATTAGTTGGGATGTTTTAGACTGCATAAAGCTAACTGAAGATGAGGCAATAACATCACGTTGTATTTTTATAAAAAGTTTCTTTCAAGAATTGGTCGAATACATGGGTCTGTATCACTTTAATAAAAAACTTAAGACTGAAGTTTTAGCTGGAACTTTGGCGGGACTATTCCCCAAAGATAATCCCAGAAATATACGCTTCTCCATTAACTTTTTCACATCTATTGGTTTGGGCGGAATAACTAATGAATTGTGTCAACTCCTAAAGATTGCTCCGAAATCTGCACCCTCGTCCTCATCATCAAGTTCTTTATCATCGGAATTGTCTGCACCATCCGACGACGATTCTTCAAGTGATTCGGAAAATAAGAAAAAACATAAAGGCAAAAATAAGAAAATGACCAAGAAGAAAAATCCTTCGAAAAAAAAGGAAAAAACTAAAAAAATTGTAGGTAAAAATAAAATAGCCGCTAAGAATAAAACTATAAAGCGAAGGACTGACAAAGACAACTCTTCTTCAAAAGATAATTTTTTGAAAAGCGAAAGTAGCAGCAACGAATCAATATCCTTAGATAGTTTATCTTCGGAATTGTTTGCACCATCGTCTTATTCGTCGTCGGAATCGTCAAACGATTCAGAAAGTAAGGAAAAACATAAAGGCAAAAATAAGAAGATGACCAAAAAGAAAAATCCTTCGAATAAAAGGGAAAAAACAAAAAAAAAATTAAGTAAAAATAAAAAAGCCCCAAACAAAAATACTAAGAAGCGAATGACTGAAAAGGACATTTCTTCTTCTGAAAGTAGCATCAGTGAATCAAAATCTTTAAATTGTTCGGCCTCGAACCAAAATGAGAATGAAAAACGGAAGAAAAGGGTTACATCGAAATCAAGAACAAAACGGGTAAAGATGTTTAAACAATGTCAATGGGTTGACGCGGACAATCAACGAGATATTAAACGCAAGAAAAGGGCAGAATATAGATATGAACCTCTTGTATATAGAAAAAGAAATGAGGAATATTTAAAGAAGGGCGGACCAAATTGCAGGAAAGATAACTATGGTAATAGGCAGAATCATGAAATATCACAACGTCATGATAGTGAAATTAAAAGACGCCGGGAAGAGCGAAAAAAACGCCACCATGAAAAAAATCACTCACGTGAATATAAACGTTCTAAATTAGGGCTCTGCCAGAGGGAATATTTTTTATATATGTGCTGTCAGTTTTATTATCCATGTACATTTCAATGTTTATGTCAAAATTGTCATTTTACATTCTACTCCTAATTCTTGCTATCAAACACTTACATATGTTTTATTTCCTTTTTATATCATAGCTATTTTATTATTTTTTTGGAACAAATTCATATATATTATGCATCGAGTTTCATCGCAAGTTTAATTTTATGTGTTATCACACAACAAACTATAAAAGAAATTACTATAAAAAATTAATAAAACCCACGGCCCACTAAACGCGTCATCGATACAACAACCACAAGCAGAGAGGAAAGAAACATGAAATGACGGAAAGACTTATTTCTTTTTTTCATTTGACAACTCTTTTCTTTATAAAAGTATCCATTTCACTTTTTCAAAAGAATCGAATTGAACAACGGGAATATGACAAACCATTAAAAAAATAAACTTCCGGTGTCGGCCTCAATTGATGTAAAAATTTCCAAGAACTCTTTCTGAGTAACGTATAGATATGTGCGCTAAGTAACAGACGTGTATGAATTGTTAAATAAAAAAAAATGTTAATAAATATTTTAAGACTGGTAATCTAAACCCTTACAACAATATACTTTTGCTTTTTTTTTCTCAATTTTAGGTATTTGCAATAGGTCTCACATCCTCTGCCCATATCCCCCATATAACGTTATATCCTTATATTACCCCGGTCATTAGAACCACTCGATATTTACAGGTACATAAATGAATCCTACGACAAGTAAATCACTTGATGAGGGTGCCGCACAAAGAATAATCGGTACGATATACATAAAAATTTTTGAGATGGGACCCCTAGTAATGCAGTCAACCTTAGTATTCTAAGCGAGAAGTTTAGGGTATAAATTTGCTTTTATGAAAAAAATGACTGGGCAGGAATCTCTGAATTGAGGATCATTCAAAACTATGTTCAGCAAATACCATTTCAGGTTCAAAGTGACAGAACTTTATTGTGTACCCATACCTTTTTCAATATTGGGGATGTACAAAATTTTGTATATAATAATCTTTCGATTTTATATTGAATTTCTCATTGAAACCACACTGATACAACTTTGTTTGTATTCGTAAATTATGATAGGAGTAATGTCACAACCATTTATCCACTTCGCCTCTTTACATTCTTCAACCAAAGCTATATATTCTGAATCTGCAGACGACAAAGATTGATTTGATGGAGTGTTCTTTATTCCTCGGTTCAGATAAAAAACATAACCGGTATGATATTTTCGATCAACATTCTTCTCTGCACAATCATCCGATGCATATTTCGTATTTTGTTTTTATTATCCCATCCATGGCAATACAATTCGTGTTTCTGTCTGAAAAGGTGAAGAATTTTATAAATATTAAACAATAAAAATTCACAAAAATGTATACCTACCCAAGCTTCCGGTGTCCTGTTCTTCAATGCAAATCAACAATTACAATATTTCCCTCCAACATCCGATGCATATTTCGCATTTTCTTTTTATTATCCAATTTTCATTTTTCAAAAGCTGTTCTCTCATCCATACAATTCGTGTTTTTGTCTGAAAAGATGAAGAATTTTATTAATATTAAACAATAAAAATTCACAAAAATGTATACCTACCCAAACTTCGGTGTCCTGTTCTTCAATACAAATCAACATAACAATAAAGATAGTTTGGTAATGTGCACAGATTATAGGTAGTTCCCTCTAACATTTTTCATATGTCTAAATGTACTGCACATTACCAGACTATCGAGAAAAACATCGATGTTAGTGATAGTTAGGTAATGTGGCAGATTTACCATGGTACAATAAGGAGGTAGAACATCTTCGTAAAACTACAGAAACACAGCCTTAAGGCTATACCCGCTTCTTGTCAGAATTATTCAATATTACAGGCAAGAAGTTGTTTTCATTTAATTGATATTTTTTGTTCATTTCTAAAATGACTCAAATAACGCGAAAAATGAATGAAATGCCTGGATGTTCTCACATAAATATGACCCTAAGTGTTCAATATTTCAATTCCATGGCAAATCTGGTTAATATTATTAATGCGCGTCCAGCAATATAAATTTCTTCCAATCATTGATTTTACAAACAAATACATACACAAAATTGGCAGAAGTCGGCCACACTTAGAAAACAAATTGTTATTAGCTGGGAGCTCTACTTTACCTTATTATTGTACCGTGGATTATACTTTGTTCCCTCCAACATTTTTCATATGTCTAAATGTATTGCACATTACCAGACTATCGGGAAAAACATCGATGTTAGCGATAGTTTGGATTATATCTAGTTCCCTCCAACATTTTTCATACGTATAAATGTATTGCACATTACCAGACTATCGGGAAAAACATCGATGTTAGTGATAGTTAGGTAATGTGGCAGATTTACCATGGTACAATAAGGAGGTAGAACAGCTTCGTAAAACTACAGAAACACAGCCTTAAGGCTATACCCGCTTCTTGTCAGAATTATTCAATATTACAGGCGAGAAGTTGTTTTCATTTAATTGATATTTTTTGTTCATTTCTAAAATGACTCAAATAACGCGAAAAATGAATGAAATGCCTGGATGTTCTCACATAAATATGACCCTAAGTGTTCAATATTTCAATTCCATGGCAAATCTGGTTAATATTATTAATGCGCGTCCAGCAATATAAATTTCTTCCAATCATTGATTTTACAAACAAATACATACACAAAATTGGCAGAAGTCGGCCACACTTAGAAAACAAATTGTTATTAGCTGGGAGCTCTACCTTACCTTATTATTGTACCGTGGATTATACTTTGTTCCCTCCAACATTTTTCATATGTCTAAATGTATTGCACATTACCAGACTATCGGGAAAAACATCGATGTTAGCGATAGTTTGGATTATAGCTAGTTCCCTCCAACATTTTTCCTATGTCTAAATGTATTGCACATTACCAGACTATCGGGAAAAACATCGATGTTAGCGATAGTTTGGATTATAGCTAGTTCCCTCCAACATTTTTCCTATGTCTAAATGTATTGCACATTACCAGACTATCGGGAAAAACATCGATGTTAGCGATAGTTTGGTAAAGTGCACAGATTATAGCTAGTTCCCTCTAACATTTTTCATAAGTCTAAATGTACTGCACATTACCAGACTACATGAGAGTTTGGTAATGTGCGCAGATTTACCATGGTACAATAAGGAGGTAGAACAGCTTCGTAAAACTACAGAAATACAGCCATAAGGCTACACCCGCTTCTTGTCAGAATTATTCAATATTACAGGCAAGAAGTTGTTTTCATTTAATTGATATTTTTTGTTCATTTCTAAAATGACTCAAATAACGCGAAAAATGAATGAAATGCCTGGATGTTCTCACATAAATATGACCCTAAGTGTTCAATATTTCAATTCCATGGCAAATCTGGTTAATATTATTAATGCGCGTCCAGCAATATAAATTTCTTCCAATCATTGATTTTACAAACAAATACATACACAAAATTGGCAGAAGTCGGCCACACTTAGAAAACAAATTGTTATTAGCTGGGAGCTCTACCTTACCTTATTATTGTACCGTGGATTATACTTTGTTCCCTCCAACATTTTTCATATGTCTAAATGTATTGCACATTACCAGACTATCGGGAAAAACATCGATGTTAGCGATAGTTTGGATTATAGCTAGTTCCCTCCAACATTTTTCCTATGTCTAAATGTATTGCACATTACCAGACTATCGGGAAAAACATCGATGTTAGCGATAGTTTGGATTATAGCTAGTTCCCTCCAACATTTTTCCTATGTCTAAATGTATTGCACATTACCAGACTATCGGGAAAAACATCGATGTTAGCGATAGTTTGGTAAAGTGCACAGATTATAGCTAGTTCCCTCTAACATTTTTCATAAGTCTAAATGTACTGCACATTACCAGACTACATGAGAGTTTGGTAATGTGCGCAGATTTACCATGGTACAATAAGGAGGTAGAACAGCTTCGTAAAACTACAGAAATACAGCCATAAGGCTACACCCGCTTCTTGTCAGAATTATTCAATATTACAGGCAAGAAGTTGTTTTCATTTAATTGATATTTTTTGTTCATTTCTAAAATGACTCAAATAACGCGAAAAATGAATGGAATGTCTGGATATAAATACGGAAAGCTCTTGCTGCACAGTGGGTCATTTATGTTTCCCTCTAGAAAACACTTGACTTTAGGAAAAATATTTTTTAAAAAAAATATGCCCTATTAATCTTTCAGGAGTGTTTATATCTCGAAAGTACACCTCATGGGCTTTCCAACGTGCTATTCCATGAGCTTGCACTATTTTTAGTTTTCGCACAGTGGGACTCGTTGATAACTTTTGAAAAATAAGAAAAATCAATTTTTCTCTAATTTTCCACGATCGATTTGGCCAAGTAATAGCGTTTTAGAAAGCTCTTGGAACGACCTTTCCTGCAGTGCCATTCATATGCGTGCACTATTTTTTATTGCTGCACAGTGGGCCATTTTATGTTTCCCTCTAGAAAACACTTGACTTTAGGAAAAATATTTTTTAAAAAAAAATCTGCCCGATTAATCTTTCAGGAGTGTTTATATCTCGAAAGTACACCTCATGGGTTTTCCAACGTGCTATTCCATGAGCTTGCACTATTTTTAGTTTTCGCACAGTGGGACTCGTTGATAACTTTTGAAAAATAAGAAAAATCAATTTTTCTCTAATTTTCCACGATCGATTTGGCCAAGTAATAGCGTTTTAGAAAGCTCTTGGAACGAGCTTTCCTGCAGTGCCATTCATATGCGTGCACTATTTTTTATTGCTGCACAGTGGGCCATTTTATGTTTCCCTCTAGAAAACACTTGACTTTAGGCAAAATATTTTTAAAAAAAAATCTGCCCGATTAATCTTTCAGGAATTTTTATATCTCGAAAGTACACCTCATGGGCTTTCCAACGTGCTATTCCATGAGCTTGCACTATTTTTAGTTTTCGCACAGTGGGACTCGTTGATAACTTTTGAAAAATAAGAAAAATCAATTTTTCTCTAATTTTCCACGATCGATTTGGCCAAGTAATAGCGTTTTAGAAAGCTCTTGGAACGACCTTTCCTGCAGTGCCATTCATATGCGTGCACTATTTTTTATTGCTGCACAGTGGGCCATTTTATATTTCCCTCTAGAAAACACTTGACTTTAGGAAAAATATTTTTTAAAAAAAATCTGCCCGATTAATCTTTCAGGACTTTTTATATCTTGAAAGTACACCTCATGGGCTTTCCAACGTGCTATTCCATGAGCTTGCACTATTTTTAGTTTTCGCACAGTGGGACTCGTTGATAACTTTTGAAAAATAAGAAAAATCAATTTTTCTCTAATTTTCCACGATCGATTTGGCCAAGTAATAGCGTTTTAGAAAGCTCTTGGAACGACCTTTCCTGCAGTGCCATTCATATGCGTGCACTATTTTTTATTGCTGCACAGTGGGCCATTTTATGTTTCCCTCTAGAAAACACTTGACTTTAAGAAAAATATTTTTTAAAAAAAATCTGCCCGATTAATCTTTCAGGAGTGTTTATATATTGAAAGTACACCTCATGGGCTTTCCAACGTGCTATTCCATGAGCTTGCACTATTTTTAGTTTTCGCACAGTGGGACTCGTTGATAACTTTTGAAAAATAAGAAAAATCGATTTTTCTCTAATTTTCCACGATCGATTTGGCCAAGTAATAGCGTTTTAGAAAGCTCTTGGAACTGCCTTTCCTGCAGTGTCATTCATATGCGTGCACTATTTTTTATTGCTGCACAGTGGACCATTTTATGTTTCCCTCTAGAAAACACTTGACTTTAGGAAAAATATTTTTTAAAAAAAATCTGCCCGATTAATCTTTCAGGAGTGTTTATATCTCGAAAGTACACCTCATGGGCTTTCCAATGTGCTATTCCATGAGCTTGCACTATTTTTAGTTTTCGCACAGTGGGACTCGTTGATAACTTTTGAAAAATAAGAAAAATCAATTTTTCTCTAATTTTCCACGATCGATTTGGCCAAGTAATAGCGTTTTAGAAAGCTCTTGGAACGACCTTTCCTGCAGTGCCATTCATATGCGTGCACTATTTTTTATTGCTGCACAGTGGGCCATTTTATGTTTCCCTCTAGAAAACACTTGACTTTAAGAAAAATATTTTTTAAAAAAAATCTGCCCGATTAATCTTTCAGGAGTGTTTATATATTGAAAGTACACCTTATGGGCTTTCCAACGTGCTATTCCATGAGCTTGCACTATTTTTAGTTTTCGCACAGTGGGACTCGTTGATAACTTTTGAAAAATAAGAAAAATCGATTTTTCTCTAATTTTCCACGATCGATTTGCCCAAGTAATAGCGTTTTAGAAAGCTCTTGGAACTGCCTTTCCTGCAGTGCCATTCATATGCGTGCACTATTTTTTATTGCTGCACAGTGGGCTATGTAACTTTCTTCCATTAAAAAATAGTCGGTATGATGACGAAAGTTTTTATTGAAATACCTTTAAATTAGTTATTTTATTTTTTTATACTTATAATTATGTTCATTATCAGGTACAAACAAAAATAAATACAAATTTAAAAAAAATGCATTTTTGTTTCGCATCTTCAAAAATCGTTTTTATTTTACCCCTACCAAAATCGTTTTTATTTTCCGCATATCTGTTATACACTGTTATACAACAGAAAGTGCGCCCAGACTGGGTGTTGTCTTCGCTAGTTAAAATCGATTTTATCTTCACGCACATTTT